TTGAGTTTAGAACAAATCAGTGGAGGAATGCGATAGATTTGAGTTTCGAAGGATGAAAAGTTGTAACCTAGATCTGATGGAACTACGACGAAGCGAGAGCCAATGGCGCGCTAACTACGAAGAATGTCGAAGGAAAACGTACCAGTTTCGACGACGGCGTTCCGATAGGGGCGCGTGATTGAGTGGAAGGAACGAGGAGGACAGGTGGCTTATTGAACCGCGGACTTTTGTTTTGTTTTTGTTTTTTTTTTCCGGCAAAGGAAACCGCGAATTTTTCTTCTCTCTTGATGATTTTTTATTTGTAAAATTATGAATTTATTTATTTTTTCTTTTTGCAAAGGTAAAATTATGAATTTAGCCCTTTCTTTAAAAATTTTAAAATATATTCGAATGTAAAATCAATTTTACTCTCAAGTGAAGTTACTAGTTAGCAAGTTGTATCAAATTTTATGGTGAACTTTCAAATTTATCAAATTATATCTTACTATTTTTATCCTCTTATACATTTTCTTTTATAAATTTGCTAAAAGCCTGTTAGATTAAGGTACAAAATTCTTTATTTAAAAAAAATAGGACTTTTTTTTAGTAAAATTTAAATTGATGAGCTTTGAGTTATTCGCCTTAGCATATCTCTCGATATAGAAAGGGGCATTTTCTTACTCATTAGCGCCCCCTCACCCCTAAACTAAAAGCGGTTGAATTTGTGTATTAATTAAACTTGATTTTATGTAAAGCTAGATTTTTCATTGAGATTATTTAAGGTTTTTTTGGATCTTTACACTGTATTTTACTTCTTTTTAGTACATGGGACATGTGAATTTGAACCTCTGACTTCAATGAAAAGAGTAAATGTCATTAATCGTTAAGTTAAGTTCATGTTAGCACATTATTTTTTTAATTAGTTAGTGAATACGATACAATTAAATAAAGATTAAAATTGTAACACTTATCTAAGTCTACGACCCAATTTGATGAAATTAAGCTAAATCTAACAAGTGCCAGCAGGCTATTTTGTAAATACAACCCGAGACTGAACACTTTATGGAACAAGTTTACTCGATCCATAAATACAATTTCGCTTTGTATCGATCTCGAAAGAAATGAATACAAACAATCCACTAGCGTGATAAATTCATTCTACGAAGTCGAACATGCCATTTGAACTATTTTTCTCTCTGAAAAGTGCTGCTTAACAAAACGATGCATGAATTATTGTTCTCTAGAGACCTCACGATGGCTTATGCAATATACGTTCTCTAGAGACCTCACAATGGCTTATGCAATATATGGTGCTTGATATTACTAAAGGTGATACTTCAATGCAGATATTATTTTAACACGTGGAGAACTCAAAAGTCATTATGCACTAGAGAAATGAAACAATATTCAATCAAACATCCATCCCACGATATATGAACTAAACATCATATTTCTTGCGGTGCTTTAACCGCAAGAAATTCTATTGTAATTATAGACTCATCATGATCATTAATGATGTGAAGACTTTACTTTTGTAGCAGGCAGGATTTCCTCTACCTCAATTATTGCCTTTTTTTTGTCGTAATACAATCTTGTTCCTCATAAAAATACTAAGTAATAATAATCGTTGTCAATTTCTTTTCCATGCTTGTATAGGTAAACTGGTAAATTCATATTGTCTCTACCTTTTT